TATATGGCCCCGGTTATGCACAGTATATATGTGACTGTACGAAATGAAAATGGAAAATAAAAACACATTTACAAGAAGAATAGTGTTTATGGAGGTTCTTGGTCATCAGGTAGTGTTTGTCCGAGAACTGAAGAAGCCTCTTGGATGAGAAGCAAAACATCTTCAAGGAAAACCAAAGAAAGTCCAGTTGCTTTTTGAAAGCATCTTTAAGAGGAGAAAGAGGATGTAACCTCATGGAGATGTGCTTGATGGAAGGAACTTCAAAAGCAGCCAAACATTTAAGATTCCTTTCAGTATCTCTTATTTGTCTGGTGGCAGCTATGCTGCTCTCCCCTAATAGGACAGGCAAGTTGGGCTACAGCTCACATCATCCCCAGCCAACATGCATGCTGGCTGATGTGTAGCCTAACTTGCCCGCAAGATGCCCCAGCCAGGTAACAGTGACTTTCATGCAGTGGACAGAAAACTGACACAGCTTTAAGTATCACAAAATTATCTTTATTTCTTTTTTCCCCCTCTTACAATTGTAAACAAAGGAATACAGTGCTCTCACAGAACATCTTTTGAGTTTCCCTGCAAGACTTTTTTTTTCCCTCCTGTTCAGTCATGTCTGATTCTCAGAGACTGCCTGCACAAAATCCCTGCAGTTTTTTCTTGGCAAGTTTTTATTTTTTTCAGAAGTGGCTTGCCATTGCCTCCTTCCTAGGGCTGAGAGAAAGTGACCGTCCCAAGGTCACCCAGCTGGCTTTGGACCTAAGGCAGGACTAGAACTCGCAGTCTCCCGGTTTCTAGCCTGGTGCCCTTCACTGCTGCATCAAACTGGCTCAAAACAATAACATAAATCCTATTTCCAAAGTGCCTGTTACATTCATTTCCTTTCAAGGAGCTGTGCAAAATGTAAAAGGAGAGACAGAAAAGAATGCCCTTTGCATGGTTAGTGCTAAAGCTCCCTCTCCCCCAGCTATAATCCTTTGGTCAAACCAGGTGGATGATGGGTGCTGAAGTCAAAAACATGTCAAAGGCATTAGACAGAAACTAGATTAAATGAGACCCTGACTTTTCAGTGTCAATAAACATGGTATGGAATACTTCCCATCCCGGTGTTATCTCCCCACCCCACCCCACCCTAGTGCAATTGTTTCAGCCATTTTAGCCTTGGTCCCAATGATATTGGGCTAGAAACTACAAACACCCAGTTTTGTCCCAGCCTGACAGCTAGGAAAATGAAAACCATAGTCCATAGGTCTTCAAACTTGGCAACTTTAAGAATTCTGGGAGATGAAGTCCACAAGTCTTAAAGTTGCCAAGTTTGGAGAGCCTTGCCATAGTCCAATAGGGTCTAAAATTGGGGCAAGGTACATATTTAGGCTTGTAACCTTGATATGGGTTATTCAGAAATAGTGTCTTTGAAAGCCTTTAGTATTGTGTTATAGGTAATCCTCGACTTACAACTCCCCAACTTGAACCCAAGCGGTCCTGTTGCTAAGCAAGACAATTAAGTTGAGTTTTGCTCCATTTTATGACCTTTCTTGCCAGAGTTACTAAGTGGGAATTGCTGCAATTAAGTTAGTAAAATGGTCATTTCATGACGGTTCCCCAATAACAAGAGTTGGAAGGGACCCTAGAGGTCTTCTAGTCCAGGGGTCAGCAACCTACAGCTCTGGAGCCGCATGTGGCTCTTTCATCCCTCTGCTGCTGCTCCCTGTCGCAAGTCAGCACCACAATTTTGAGAGGAGCTTCCAGTTGGCGGGGGGAAGTAGGGTACACTAGGAGGAGACTCTATGGCAAGGGGCAGGTTTTCCGGTCAGCTCCACAATTGATAGGGCAGGTAGAGGAAAAAGGACGACGTGCTAGGAGGAGACTCTATGGTGGGGGAACTGGACTTCCAGTTGGCTCCAGAATTGAATGGGTGGGGGGCTTCCTGTTAGGACCTTTGTGGCTCTTTGAGTATTTAAGGTTGCTGGCTCCTGTTCTAGTCCAATTTCCTGCTCAAGCAGGATCTTTGCTTGTCAGGAGGTCACAAAAAGGGATCACATGACTCCGGGACACTGCAGATGTCATAAATACATTGCCAGATGCCAAGTGTCTGGATTCTGATCACGTGACCCCAGAGATGTTTGCACGTGGTCATAAATCAGTACTGTTTTTTCCAGTATCCATTATAACTTCGAATGGTCACTAAACAAATGGTTGTAAGTCGAGGACCACCTGCATGCTGGACATTCACATTGCTTCAGATCTCAATATTATACATTCTTTTTTTATTAATACTGCCCTTATTCTCCCCTTGCCCTCCACCCCGCCTCCTACCCCAATGGCACACTTCTTCTTCTTCTTTTTCTTCTTAGGGTTGCAGGGATTAGAATAAACACCAGGGGGCAGCCAAATACAGATATGTTGGGGGGGGGAATCTATTTTGTTTTTGAAACCTGGGGTAGCTCTGAGCTATTTGATCGAAGGAGAGACAGAAGGGAGGTGCAATGGCATTTGTTTAAAATGTAGAAAAATAGTTTTTCTAGAGCTCTGAGGTAATTAAGGCTATAAAAACTCCAAAGAAAGGTTTTGAGGCTTGCTTCTTGCCGTTTTTTTTCCTTTTCTTAAGAAAATAATGCACTCTCAATATTTCAGACAAAAGATTTGCATCAGACCCGACATGTCACCGATACACCCACGCATGCACACACACACAAAAGCAGAAACACGGATTCCCCCTTCTTTCCCCCCTCCCCTGTCTTTTTTTTAAAAAAGGCATGGTTAAAAAAATAAATGAGATTTGTCCTTTCCCCCCCCCCCTTTTGAAATAACGCGCAAAATTGTTGCAAAGGAGAAGGGAGCTCAAAATACAGCCTGTCCCTTTAAATTCATCGGCTTTCCCCCCCCCCCTTTCCTGAAGTCAAAATAAATAAAAATATAGGACATCCAGGTCACTTACATTGGCAAAGGGGAAGGGGAAGGACATTAGAAAGAAAGGCTTTGCACATTGGAGTGGCAAGAGATTGGGGAGAAGGCTGCTGGAGCAGAGAGAGAGAGAGAAAGAGGACTCAGACGTCACTGGGCGATCTGGACTGGAAAGGCATAGAGGAGGAGATACAGCTGCAGCATATTGCCCATAAGACTTTCTGGATTTCCTGGTTCCGGAAGGCATAAATCACCGGGTTGATCATGGAGTTGTAGGTGGCCGGGAGCACAGTCATATAGGTGTAGAGGGCAGGGTAGGTGTAATCTCCCAGGAGACAGTAAACAGCAAAGGGTAACCAGCATGAAGCAAAGGTCCCCAGGATGAGAGTCAATGTGGAGATGCCTTTCCGGGTAGTGACGTAGTGCGACGTCGCCAAGAAGTGTCTCTGCAGGGCGATCTGCTGGGCATGCCGACACACAATCTTGCAGATCTGCACGTAGAGCTGCAACATGACCGCAAAGACCATGAAGAAGGAAATGGACAGGATGACGAGGTGGTCCTTGTTCAACGGCTTGATGATGCTGCAGGCGGTGTTGTCCTTCAAGCAGTTCCAGCCCATGACGGGCAACAGCCCAACGCTGATGGAGACCCCCCACGTGAGGATGAGGATGACGAAGGTCCGGGTGACTGTCCTCTCTGAGTAGTAGGTCAACGCGTTGTAGAGAGACAAGTAGCGGTCTATGGTGATGGCCAGGAGGCTGCCCACGCTGGCGGTGAAGGAGGTCACCAGAAGGCCCATGGTGAGGAGGTTAACCATCTCGGACTGGACGCAATAAACAAAGGCAAAGTGAAAGATCAGGCCCAAGCCAGCCAGGAGATCAGCCGTGGCTAAGCTTCCAATCAGCAGGAACATCGGAGTCCGAAAAGCTGGAGTGTAAAAGATGATGGCCACCACAATGGCGTTCTCACAGGAGATGATCGTCCCAGAAACGCACAGGACGACATCCCAAGGATTTAAGGGAAGAGCAGCAGGCGTCTCTGAGAAGTAGAAGGACTTGCTGGTGCTGCCATTAGTTGGCACAAACCAGCCTGGCTGGATCTTGGTGGTGTTGGTGGGCAGTTCCTCTTTCATGCTCTCTACCTGTGATCTGAAACAGCAGATGAAAAAGCCAACTCAGTTGCAACTCAGGTTTGGAATGAAGCAGCAAGTATTTGTAAGTATTGGAGCGTGTTTTCATATCTATGTTTGTGTGCATTTGGAAGGGACAGATTAATTGATACATGTTTTCTAAGGTTGGGAGTCAAGACGGAGGCAAACCAGCTACCTTTAGTTTCCTAAAACCACCACTACCTTTTGTAGGTATAGTTTACCTGTGATTGTTGAGTCCTTGTGATCAATGCCTTCTAAATGGGATATTTCTGGCTTGGGCCTGTCCTTGTTTGCCACCTTCCCTGTCTTTTTTTCCCCGTTCTTCAAACAAGCCCGTCAAGATAAAAGAGGACAAGCCAATGTTGTCTCTTGTCAACGTAGGTTGCTCCAGATGACATCATGTATATTTTTTCTGTTCCTGCACAGGTCTCCCTGCCCGTATCCCTTTCTCTTTTGCTTGCTCTAACCTAACCTAGCTCTTTCCTTAATAGTGGCATTCAGAAATGTTTCTAGGGAAGGGATGGCTCTGAATACTGTGCAACAAAATAGATTGTGCAGCTTCTCTCTGCCTTTCTGCTAACAAGCTGGTAAACACGAAAAGTCAAGGGAACAAGCTGAGCGGTGTTTATGTCCTCCTCCTTTGTAAAAACAAAACACCAATCATTTTATTCTGCCTATGTCTGTTAAATCGTCAAGCTAAGGAAGGCAATAATATCTTTAACAAACTTTGGATAGCCTTCTGTCTTCTACATGTATGGAGCACTATTTCACAGCCAGCATGGCAAAGCAACCGTGCTGGCTGGGAATTAGGAAGCCTGTAGTAGTCCAGGCTCATCTGGAAGGCATCGAATTAGGAAGCCCTTCCTTCAAGAGTTCGAGTCCAGCTAGTTTCCTGAGAAAAATACCTGGCGATCCGTTTGTTGGTGAACACTTAGGATTTGTAGATGTCGATCCGTGTCCTGAAAAACGACTGCTGCACCATCCGGATCTGTTTCCAATTCTGATGTGTAACGGTGCGACTTTTAAGTGAAGCCTATTGAGACTCGCAACCCACTTAACAAGTTTAGAGTCGGACTGCGGAAAATGTCCTTAAAAAACAAGTGTCTGGAGTCTAGACTAGCCTGTGATTTTGCCTTTGAAAACGTGTTAAACCACCCTAGATGGCTCGCTCAGATCTGGATCCCTTGCAGAGAAGGTTCTTTTGGGCTGTCAAATTAAGGAAGGGGTCCGCACTCACCTTGGAAGAGGGTCCCACTGCACATTCAGCGAGAAAAAAGCCTCGGTTGGGGAGGGGGAGGCGGACAGCAGCGGGGTCGATCCGGGCGTCCGATTGGGTGGCTGCTGGTCGAAGGAATCCGCCTCTCCCAATGCAGATGCGGCCGGAGCTTAGCAGGTGGGGTTGCGAGGATGGAAGAACCCCTGTCCAGCTGCAGCGACGGCTTTCAGACTGGCCGGGAACTGGTGTGGGGGGGGGGGATGCCCGGTGTTATAGTGAACAAGCCCCCTTTTCGAGGGTGACTCATACTTAAGGGCTCTGGCCGGGCGGCTCCTCCCACCGCTCGGGTGACGTCAATGGCGGCGGGAGCCAATCCAGTGTCGAAGGAGGACAAGCGCGCGCTAGAGCGCCGGGCGGCATAGTAATCCGGCTCGGGCTGGAGAATTCCATTCATAAAAGCGAGGAGGGCGCGGGGGGGGAGAAGAAGAGGAAGAGGAGGAGGAAGAGGAAGAAGAACAGAGAGGAAGGGGGGGCGGGCGGGGAGGAGGAGAGGAGCGGCGCCGCTGAGGCGTTTGTCGTGTAGGCGTTTTGGGGAGAGCTTCCTCCTCGCCCCTTTTTGCGTCTCGTTCAAAGGGCTTTGCGGGGCGTTATGACCGGAAACGGGGGACGAAGAATCCCCCCTCCCAAGAATCCCTTAAGGCCTTCGTGGCTCAGAGGCGGAGGCTGCCCCAATGACGGGTTCCCTCATCACAGGACTCCATACTGTGGCTAGTGGGTTAGGGGCTCAGCATGATGGAGGTCTATCAACCCTGGCTTGTCACGATGTGTCATTCCAGTCAGTGGTGATTTATTCCATGACGCAGAGTGTTTAAAACTCTCGGTTTAACCTTCTCCACATAAACCAGCCTTTTATTTATTTATTTATTTATTTATTTATTTATTTATTTATTTATTTATTTATTTATTTATTTTTTCAAACAGGTACGAGATAACAGGTATAAGTGTCAACATGGAGATGAACAAAGGAAATGAGTACAAATAAATGGGGACAGTAGGACAGGGACGGTAGGCACGCTGGTGCGCTTCTGCACACCCCCTTTATGGATCTCTTAGGAAAGGGGTGAGGTCCATAGTAGACAGCTTAAACTTGAAGCTGTGGTGGTTTGAGGATGGACACTAATCAAGAAGAGAAGCAACCTAGAATCAAGGAGAAGTTTCCTGACAGTGGGAACAATTGATCAGTGAAATGACTTGCCTCCAGAAGTTGTGGACGGAGGTTTTTAAAAAGACAGCCATTTGTCTGAAATGGTAGAGGGTCTCCTGCTTGAGCAGGGGGTTGGACTAGAAGGTCTCAAGTTCCCTTCCAAATCACTGATTCTCCTAGCCTTGTGAAATTATTCAGACTAGAGAAGATCTCCCATTGCCATGTCCAGGAAGAACTCTGAAACCAGCCCATTTCAACTGACAGTTGTATAAATCAGTGTTTCTCAACCTTGGCAACTTGAAGATGTCTGGACTTTTACTTCCAGAAATTCCCCACCCAACCCCCCCCGTGCCGGGGGGCTCTG